GGCTGCCCCATCCCTGGCAGTGTTGAAGGGCAGGTTGGATGGGGCTTGGAGCAGCCTGGGCTGGTGGGAGGTGTCCCTGCCTGTGCAGGGGTTGGAATTGGATGATCTTGCAGGTCCCTTCCAACCCAAACTAGTCTGAGATTCTGTGAAATGCAAGATCCCATCAAACTCTTGACCCCACAGCACAGGACACTGGGTGGGGACAAGGAGCAGAGGGGCCAGGGACAGACTTTGCTGCTCCCAAGTTTCTGCCTTGTTTGTACCAGAAAGAAAAAGCCTTTTCTCATTTCCCTCATTTTGCATTAATATGATAGTGCTGGAGTTTGGGATGGGTCTGGGAGGCAGAAACACTAGAAAATGCTGCTAATGGCTGACAATTAATAAATAATCTCATTATTATCAGCAGCACCAGAACAATCACTAACATCATTGCCATTTTAGTAGCACTATTATTTTTATTAACAGCTGTGACCAAAACATCCCTGATAGCAGTCACTGCCATCACCCAACCATTTGGGTTTGTTTCCTTTTTCTGTGGGGTTTGCAGCCTGACCATAATTGCTGTTTTCTTCACACCCTCCTCCACTTGTGGTTTTTGCTTCATCCCTTCCCCAAATTGATGAGCAAGGCCCCAAGTTCTCCTGGATCTTTTTGTCCCCTGACAGGAGAAATGAGCCTGGAGGGAGAACAGCACCTGAAATCCTGGTGAACTGGGCTGGGCAGGAGCTTTGGGTTTGAGTGGAACAAAAATGTCTTTGAGGGTTTGAAAGTTAATGTGAAGAGCCCAGAGATCAATTATTGACAGAGTGCTGGGGGCAGCCCCAGGGGAAGTGTGGAAAGGGGTGGTTGGAGGAAGAGGCAGATAAATTGTCCCCAGGGGCTGCACTGAGCTCTCAGGGAGGAGTGGAGAAGACTCCTCCAGGGAGAGATGCTGTCTCATGATGGGATGTTCCAGGAGATGTTGCAGTCGAAGTTTCTTGTGGATGGAGTCACTAGAGGAGATGCTGAGACCCCTCTCCTCCTGAAGAAGGTGGAAGGCTCCCTGGGCCCTCACCCCAAGGACAATATCCACGCTCCTTTCTCTTTCCTCAGCATTTTCAGACTAGATTCAACTTCTTCCCTCATGTCTAGACCTTGACATCCCTCTCTGCTGTAAACAAGGAAGCCCAGGACCTGCTCTTTAGGTGTCCAGCAGTGGGTGGACAAAGTCTCCATGGGCATCTAACAATGGGGACACACCTGAAGAAAAGTGGAGAGTGGTGTGTTCACTGCACTTCATAGAGTCACAGAATCAGGGGATGGTTTGGGTTGGACCTTATAGATCATCCAGTCCCACCCCCCTGCATGGGCAGGGACACCTCCCACCAGCCCAGGCTGCTCCAAGCCCCATCCAACCTGCCCTTCAAGTTCCCCCTTGTCCTCTCAGTCCTTGTCCCAAGTCCCTCCCCAGCTTTCCTGGAGCCCCTTCAGGCACTGGAAGCTGCTCTAAGGTCTCCCTGGAGCCTTCTCTTCTCCAGGCTGAACACCCCAGCTCTCCCAGCCTGGCTCCAGAGCAGAGCTGCTCCAGCTCTTGGATTGTCTCCACGACCTCCCCTGGACTCACTCCAGTGGCTCCATGTCCCTCCTTTAAGTAGGTTTGTGGCCTTCAGAGAAGCTGAGCCCCAGGAGAGCTGCACGACCAGACCCTGTGGAGGAACTCAGAGCCATTTATGGCCTTTGTCATTCCCTGTGCAGGGCTGGCAGGGACAGTGGGCACCCAGGACCCCTGGGAGTGGGTTTCCCTGCAGCTGCCTCTGCCCTTGGCTTCTTGCTTAAAGAATCAAAGGGAACAAAAACCTCAGCTCCAACTGTTTCTGATTTCTATGTATTTTTTTTAAACACTGGCCCACGTTGCCCAGAGAGGTTGTGGAGACCCATCCCATGGAGACATTGAAGGTCAGGCTTGATGGGGCTCTGAGCAGCCTGATCTAGGTGCAGATGTCCCTGCTCACTGCAGGGGGTTGGACTAAATGACCTTTAAAGGTCCCTTCCAACCCAACACTTTCTATGATTCTATTTGATGGACACTCAGAGAAGGTGGGGACACCCATGTGAGGCAGAAAGGGATGGAGGTGTGAGGAGAGGGAACTGATGGCAAAGAGGGGGGGATGTGCAGGGAGGAGGGAGGGGTGTGAATTAGGGATGGGTGTGAAGTTGGGGATGGGTGTGAAGTTAGGAGTGAGGGATGTAAAGGGAGGAGGGATGGGTGCAAAGAGAGGAGGTTTGGATTAGGAGGGGTGAAATTAGGAGGCCAGATGTGCAGCAAGGAAGCCAGATGTGCAGGGGTGAGGTGGGAGGGACGTGCACTGACGTGGTGTGGCGGGGGGGGGGGGGGGGGGGCTGCTCTGCCTTTTGTGTTTCACCCCCCTGGCCCAGGCAGGCTGTGGAGCACCCAGGGAGGTGAGCTCAGCTCCCTGATAGTCATCTGCAACAACACACAGTGTTCTGGAGCTGCAGGGGGCCAGAACTGTCTGGGCTGGGACCATCCAGGCTGGGTGACCCCCCCACACAGCCCTTCTCCTTTGGCTGCAAGAGCGAACACTGTGTCCTCTGCTCCTGCTGCCTCATGGAGTCATAGAATCATTGAATCACAGAGTCATTCAGGTTGGAAGGGGCCTTAAAGATCATCCAGTTCCAACCCCCCTGCCATGAGCAGGGAACCACCAGACCAGGCTGCACAAACCTCATCCAATCTGGCCTTAAAATTCTCCAGGGATGGGGCATCAACAACCTCCCTGGGCAACCCATCCCAGCTCCTCAGCACCCTCAGAGTGAAGAATTTCTTCCTAATATCTCACCTAAATCTCCCCTCTCTCAGTTTAAAACCATCACCCCTGGTCCTGTCACTGTCTTCTCTGATGAGTAGCCCCTCCCCAGCTTTCCTGGAGCCCCTTCAGGCCCTGGAAGCTGCTCTAAGGTCTCCCTGGAGCCTTCTCCTCTCCAGGCTGAACACCCCAACTCTCTCATCCTGTCTTCATAGCAAAGCTGCTCCACATCTCTGACCACCCTTACCCTGAGATCAGGCAGAAATTCTTTGGTGTGAGGGTGGTGAGAGCCTGGCCCAGGTTTCCCAGGGAAGCTGTGGCTGCCCCATCCCTGGCAGTGTTGAAGGGCAGGTTGGATGGGGCTTGGAGCAGCCTGGGCTGGTGGGAGGGGTCCCTGCCCATGGAGGAGTTGGGACTGGATGATCTTCAAGGTCTCTTCCAACCCACACCATGGTTCTGTGGTTGTCACACAGGGTGGGAAGCACTGGGATGGCAACGCAGAAAAGACCCTGGAAACCTCTTTTTTTTTTCCAGAAAAGACCCTGGAAAGCCCCAGGCTGAGGGGGGTGGGACACAGCTCTCAGGTTCTGCCAAGAGGGAAGGGGCTTGGGCAGGGATTGGTGCTGTTATTCCTCTGTGTGTGTGTGTCCCATAAACCTGGGGAGGTGGGAGGGGATGTCACAGCTGGAAGGACACATCAGCCCTCCCCAGGGACCTGTTATTGGTGACATGGGCACACAGACCAGCACACACCCCACGGGAGCCTCCAGTGTCCCAGTGCCACCCACAGCTCCCACGCCCCCCCCCACCTTTCCCTTCTCTTGGCCCTGGTGCTCTCCCCACCACCCTTTGCCCCTCGTGCTCCAGCTCTCCCTGCCCTGGGCCTTTCTCAGGGTCTCCTGCCCTCTCTCCTCCCCACAAGGCATAAATCACCCTCTGGCTTCAGCCTCAGCTCTCAGAGGAAGCAGCAGCCCACGTTGCCACCTCCTTCCCACGGGACCTGGCTGCCTCCAGGATGCTGGGAAGCTTTTCCCAGAGCAGAAGGGGTTCCTGCAGGAAAGCTGTTGGGCACCAGTGGCTCTGGAGCCCCTGAGGCTGGATGTCCCTCCCCTCCACCTTGCACCAGCCCATGCTCCCACCCAGGTGCCTTCCCAGGGTCTGGAGAGGGGACCTTCAAGAGACAGGGAGAGGAGGGGTTGGGGCTGTATTAAAAAGCCCCCAAATTCTCCATTTCCCCACCCCAGGTGAAGGCTGCAGACATGCAGCAGGGAGCTCTGAGCATCAGGCTGGAGCTCCAGGTTTCTCCAGGTTTCCCAGCTCCTCCCCATGGTCCCCATGGTCCCCATGGCCAGGTTAACCCCAGCAGCCCTGAAAAACCCAGCAAACAGGCAGAGAAACCTTCTTGGCTGAGTCCCCTCTGCTGGAAAGCAGCAACACTTGGGCTGCAGATCTTCTCAGCCACCAAGGAGAAGCTTTCCTTGGAGACCCAGGGGGGAAATCAACCTATCAGCTCTGCTTCCCACCCAGGGAGCTCTGGGCAGCCCAGCCCAGCTCTGGTGTCCTCCCTGGTGGCATCACCAGGAGCCCGACTGGAGAGCAACTCTCCTCCCTGCTCCATCCCTTGGCACCAGCCCATCAGGAAAGAGGGTTTTGTTGATCGATCCAGAACACCAAGAGCTGCAACAGGCTGTGCCCAGGGGTCCATTAACTCCAGCAGATCCTTCCTCAAGCCCGTGGGTCCCAGAGGATGTTCTTGCTGGTGATTTTCTCCACCAGCACAAGGGGAATTGTCTGGGACAGGGAAGAGGACAGAGTGACCTCCTGCTCAGGTGTTCAGGTCTAAGATGGGCTGTTAGAGAGACATGAAACCCCTCCTAGATATGAGAGCTGAACACCCAGGCACACTCCAGGATGCTCATGCATATCCTGGCTTGACATCAACCCCCCAGAGCTCCAGGGTCACGTCTGAGCTCTTTACCCATCCCTGGGGGTGGTGATGAGAGACAGGGTGAGGTTCCCCAGGGCAGAGAAACCAGGCTGCAACACATCTGTCAGGACAAGCTGCTACCCATGGCCAAGGAAGGGAGGGAGGAGCATCCTGGCACCTCAGCACAGCCACCCCATGGGTCTTAAACCTCCAGGCAGATCATCCTGCTGGCGTTGAGCTCCTTGCTGTGGTTGTTGCCTCCTCCCCAGGTACAAGAGCGTGGTGACCCCCCGGCGGGCAGCAGTGGCCATCGCCTGCTGCTGGATCGTGTCCCTCCTGGTGGGACTCACCCCTATGTTTGGCTGGAACAACCTGAGCAAGATGAGGAGGACTCAGGAGCTGAACTCCAGCCGCGCCGAGTTTGTCATCAAGTGCCAGTTCGAGACGGTCATCAGCATGGAGTACATGGTGTACTTCAACTTCTTCGTCTGGGTCCTGCCCCCCCTGCTGCTCATGCTGCTCATCTACCTGGAAGTCTTCAACCTCATCCGCAAGCAGCTCAACAAGAAGGTCTCCTCCAGCTCCAGCGACCCCCAGAAGTATTACGGGAAGGAGCTGAAGATCGCCAAGTCCTTAGCACTGGTCCTCTTCCTCTTTGCCCTCAGCTGGCTCCCCCTGCACGTCCTCAACTGCATCACCTTGTTCTGCCCCTCCTGCCAGACCCCCCACACCCTCACCTACGTTGCCATCTTCCTCACCCACGGCAACTCAGCCATGAACCCCATCGTTTATGCCTTCAGGATCAAGAAGTTCCGGACAGCCTTCCTGCAGATCTGGAACCAGTACTTCTGCTGCAAGTCCAACAAAAACCTCAGCACCTCCACAGCTGAGCCGGGCAACTAGGAACTGGGAGAGAGCAGAGAGAGGACCCCCCTGACCAACCTGGTCCCCACCTGGGGACAGGGCAATGGGGACCAGGGAGGGCTGAGTTTACCCTCCTGTGCAAACCCCACAGCCGTGTCCCCCTGATGCCCCAGGGGGTTATTTATTCACAAGCCTTGTACTGTTTTGATATTGTAGCCTGCACTGTTCCAACCTCCCCCTTTTTTTAATTTGATTTTCTGTTTGGGTTTCGTTGTTTGTTGGTTTTTTGTTTGTTTCATTTTTATTTTTTTTTAAAGGGTTGCCAAGTATTTAAGGAGAAATTGTACAGACAAAGGCACAAGTTTATCTTCATGCCAATAAAGTAAAATGCTAAAAAGCACCCAGGAGGTTCTCTGCTGTTGATGGAGACCTCTGGCTCCTTGGGGAGCTGCAGCTGGGGGTGCTGGGGGCACCTCCTGCTCTGCCCCCCACATCCATGGACACATGGGGGGACCTGGGCAAAGGGTGTCCTGGTGGGAGTGAAGCTGCTGAGAACCAGGAGACCCCAGGGCAAGGTGATTTCTGCAGCTCTGAAGATGGGACAGTTTGAGCCCTTTTTTTCCCCTCCATGAGCAGAGAGAGATGAGCTGGGCTGGACACAGGAAGAGACAGGAGAAGGCAACCCATGGCAATGCCAGCACCCACAGGGTGATGAACCCACCATCCCCAGAGAGCAAAGAGTCAGTCTCCAACTCTCAGCTCTACTGGAGAGGTAGGTAGAGGGGACAGAGAACTCTGGGGTACTCTGCAAGAAGTCCCCTTTGCTGCCCATGGCTCCCCAGGGACCCCAGCAGCACCAACCACCTCAGGGAGCTGCATCCCCTCCCTGTGTCTTCTCCATCCTCTGGCTTTGAGTCATTTTCCCCTCATTTCTCCTGCCTGTCTCATGCCAGGCAGCAACAAGTCTTTCCCAGCCCCTGTTTATCCCACCCCTCCCACGTCCCTCCCTCCCACCCTCCCTTTTGACCCAAACTTTGGGGGCTAATGCAGCCACCCCCCCATTGCCCAAGGGAGCCAAGAGGCCCCTGTGCCAACCTGGGGACACACAGGGGACATCTGAGGGCCACCATCTTGGTGTTGATGCTGTCACAGGGGTATTTCCACCCCCACCCATGTCTGGCTCAGCTCTAGCCCTGGGAAGGGTGTATTGTTGGTGACATTTGAGGAGGGGGTGGCTGCAGAGGGACCCCCACCCAGCTCTGTGCTCCCTATGGGTGCTGGAGCTCCCTGCTCTGCAGCAGAACCTCTCCCAGGGCTGGAGAAAGGGTGGGAAGAGTTTATTGGAGTTAATTGGGACTCATTTCTTATCAGCATCCCTTGCTCAGCAGTTTCCTACTGGAAACACACTGCCCATGACCCGGGAGGGTCGTGCCCCTCGGACGTCACCGAGTGGCTGCAGCAACTTCCTGGTGGGTGCAGAGAGGAAAAGGACTTTGGGGGGGGATGGATGGGTGGGTGGGTGGCTGGAGCTGGAGAGCCATGCTGAGCACCTGCAGCACAGCCCATGGGGCTGCTGGGTGTCCCCTTCACCCCCCACTGCAGAGATCTCCTCCAGGGCTCTGGAGAGGAAGAGGAGGGCAGTAGGGAAGGACGTGAGACTCAGCCCCCAACATTTCACAAGGGCCTCAATCCCATCCAAGGTCCTGGTTTGGACCACGCTGGGCAACAAGGGAGCAGAGCAGAAGAGCAAAGACCAGGACAGGAGCAAATCCTTCCCTTGGGCTCCTTCCCAATGGAGGGGCCTTGAACATCCTCCCAGCCCCCTTGACATGAAGAACCCAAAACCTTCTATCTGGGAAGGCTGAGGTTGGGCCAGGCCAGTGCAGAGGGACCTCCCTGCTCCTGGTCCCCTGACACAGCAGTGACTTGGCCTCAGATTGGTGCTGCTGTTCCCAAGCACAGGTCTGATTCCCACTCACATCCTAGTCCTGCCAGAAGCTGCTTTCCCAGAACTGCTGCCACCTCCTCCTGATCCTTGCTAAGGTGCCCAGAGAACCTGACAACTGGGATGCTCGTAAATTAAAAGGCATGTGAGTGGTTTTGGAAAAAAAAACAACCAAAACAACCTAGTGGATTTTTCCACTCCATGCTCTCCAGACCTTTCCTGGGGACAGCAACTCCCAGCAGATGGTGTCACCCAACCTGCTCCTCGGGGGGGGGCTGCAAACTCAGGCCTTGCCCTGTAGGACCACAGTAAGAGCCTGGAAAGGTCACAGGGAGCAGCAATGGCACAGCCTTGGAGATGTTGCTTCTCCCCCATCTCAGCATCCCCCCTGGCTGACCCAGCCCCTTCCCAGGTCCTGTCTGTAAAAGTTCCCACTGGCCAAAGCCACATGCCAAGATGCCAGGGACATGAAGGGAGGCAGGACAACCCCACCTGTGTCCAGGTGTGAGTGTACCAGGAGAAGACCTGCCTGGATTTGCTGGCTGGACTGCAACTTCCACCCCGGTGGCATCATTGCTACCTACAACCACCTCAGTCACAGAATCATCAGATTTGGTTGGAAAAGACCTTTAAGGTCAACGAGTCCAACCATTCCCCCAGCCCTGCCAAGGCCACCACTGCCCCATGTCCCTCAGCACCATCTCCAGGGCTTGGAAACCCCTCCAGGGATGGGGACTCCCCCCCTGCCAGGGCCTGACAACCCTTTCATGAAGAAACTGTTCCCAAGATCCAACCTCAACCTCCTCTGGAGCAACTTGAGGCCATTTCCTATTGTTCTATCCCCTGTTCCTTGGGAGGTCAGCCCCCACCCTGCTGCAACCTCCTTTCAGAGAGCAGTAGAGTGAATAAACCAGCCCTGACCACCAGCTGGGGTAAAAATTAATCAGACAATGCCCTCTGATGTTGGAAACCACCTCTGGCATGGACAGTGCTGAGCCCCTGGGAGCAGCAATGTCCCCATGGACTTCAGCTTGGGCATGGAGAGCAGGTGAGTGGGGCACATGGGGACCAAGAGGGGCTGCAGGAGAAGCTGCAGAGAGGGGTCAGGTATTTGAGCCACAGGCACTGCCTGGATTTGCTCTACGGTGGCACCAAGGGTGGGCTGAGCTCAGAGCTTTGGATGCCCAGGTGGGATTTGGACCCACCTTTGCACCCACCAGTGGGTCCTGGCATTGCAAAGTTGGGACCAAATCCCACCTGGCATCATTCTCAGGCCCAGGACTGAGCTGCTCTGGGTGGCTGCATCATTGAAGTGAGAAGGAAATTGTGCCTGGATGAAGAGACACCAACGTGTCTCAGTGTCCACGTCCTGTTTCCCTCCTCACCTCCCAGCCAGAATCATTCTCCAGCTCCAGAAGGAAACTTCTCCCCATCCTCCTCCTGGTTGGGTTGCTTCTGGTCCAGTCATTGTCATATAAAGCTGGTCCATCTTTTCCAAGCTCAAATCCCATCTCCTTCACCCATGGTTTGGACAAGTAGCAACCCTCTCCCCTCTGCTCCCCCCACCCAAGCCAACCCCACCACAAGCAGGACAGAGTGGTTTGGTTTTGTCTTTTTATTAGAACCAAAGCCCCTCAGAGGGGCTTGTTTTACTGTCACAGCCAAGGACACATCCAGAGAGGACCATGCCATGGCAGGCTGAGGTGCAGGTCCCCCCCAGAGCTCTGCCAGGGAGGTCAGCAGGCAGCAGAGGCCATGGCCAGGAGCATCACCACGTGCCAACTACTGCCCAGCAGCATCGACCTGGGGCAAAGGAATAAGATCTGAGTCCTGAGAGGGCACCAGTGGTCAGGGCTGAGATGGGAACCCACCTCCCAACCCAGGGCTCTAACGCAAAACAAGCCCAGCCCAGCTCTTCCACCTTCTCCTGCCCCACGAAATTCAGGTGCAACCATTTAACTCTCTTTTTTTTCAGTCCCCAACCCCATTTCACACCCCTCTATTCCTGCTCCCAGCCCCACTACTTGTCCCTCACGTGCATCCAGGCCCTGGTGTCCCAGCTCTCAGCCCTGCCTGCAAACTGGGGCTCTGCCCCCCGTGCTGCCCTTGCACACCAGGCACACCAGGTTCCACACACCTCCTGGTCCCCATATCTGCAGCCCTCCCACCACCTTGCAAAGGGGCAGGTTTCTCTCTGGCTCTGCAGAAACTGACCCCACCAGGACATCTCCAGCTGTGGGATGAGGAAGACCCAAGCTGGGGCTCCATCAGCAGGTGACAAGGGCTAATCCAGGAAGGACACTCAGCCCTCTCTGTACACAATGAAGTGACTCATCCTCTGTCCATCCCACAGCCCCATCCCAGACCTACCTTGCTCTTCATCTTGTCCTCGAGTCTCTCCTCACTGGGGCACTGCAGGAGAGCACAGGAGATACAAACACCTTGAAGTCTTTTCTTGCTCCCTCTTTTACTTCCAAAAGTGACCCAGGGTATCACCACCCAACTCAGGTGCACACACCAACGTGCACCTACAGCCTCCATCCCCGTGCACACCTGCTCCAAGCAATCATGCACAGCCCCACCACTGCCTGCTCCTGGCCACCTTGCAACCAGAATCCCAGCCTGGTGAATCCCAGGTGCTTTGTGTCCCTAGTACTGGGTCCAGGTCTGGAGCCCCCAGTATAAGAAGGACATGGAGCTCCTGGAATGAGTCCAGAGGAGCCACAGAGATGATGGGAGGGCTGGAGCAGCTCAGCTCTGGAGACAGGCTGGGAGAGTTGGGGTGTTCAGCCTGGAGAAGAGAAGGCTCCAGGGAGACCTTAGAGCACCTTCCAGTGCCTGAAGGGGCTCCAGGAAAGCTGGGGAGGGACTTGGGACAAGGGCAGGGAGGGATGGGATGAGGGGGATGGATGAAAAGTGGAAGAGGGAGATGGAGGTTGGAGATGAGGAGGGAATTCTTTGGTGTGAGGGTGGTGAGAGCCTGGCCCAGGTTGCCCAGGGAAGCTGTGGCTGCCCCATCCCTGGCAGTGTTGAAGGGCAGGTTGGATGGGGCTTGGAGCAGCCTGGGCTGGTGGGAGGTGTCCCTGCTCATAGGAGGGAGGTTGGAACCTGATGATCTATAAGTTTCCTTCCAAGCCAAACCATTTGATGGGTCTATGAAAGCTTCACCATGCTGCCTGCAGGACTGCACTGCCAGCCCTGCCTGCAGGACAGTGTGACCAGGGCTGGGCAGGTCCATGCTCCCTGCAGTGCCTGGAAGCCACAAAGCTCAGCACCATCCCAGCACCAGCAGCACCAGAACCTCAGCCAGGACTGCAGGTGCTGGAGCCCTGCCCAGGAGGTCAGAGTGCATCTTGGGATGAGTGACTGTGTGCTGGGAAACCATGGGAGGAGAAATAATCCCAATGAGACGTGTCTGAGAACCCTCCTCCCCTGGAGGAGCGTGTGCTGGGTGTGTTGGCACAGCCTGGGCTGGGGGAGCAGAGCCAGGCACCTCCCTGCAAGGCTGGGCTGGGTGCTCTGCTGAGGCAGGGAAATGTGAGCTGGGAAGTCTGGGCAGGATCCTGAGCCATAAATCACACCAACCCAGGTGCAAGTGGAGGGGGTTCAGCATCATCCCCCCCTCACGTGTGGAGGGCTTGGGACACAAGGGCTGGTAGATGCTGTGAGGTGCAAGTGACTGGCCCAGCCTCCACCAGCACCTCCAGTCCTTAACTCTGCCCTTTCTGGTTCCTCCCCTCCACATTTTTTTTGGCCACAAAAGAGGAAAGGTGATTTCAAGATGCTTCAAGACCCAACAAGGCCAAAGCTCCAGCTCCACCAGCCTGCCCAGTGTCCACAGACTCCCCCATCCCCAGGACCAACACAAACCAGGAACAAACCCCATCACTGTGAAAGCAAGAGCAGGCAAAGGCAGGCAAGGAGACCTGCTCCCCTGTCTCCTGGGACAATCTCACCTTTCACATCAAGTCTGCAGTCTACTGAGGCTTCCCCCAAGGGGTTCACAGCTTTGCAGGTGTAGATGCCCCCATCAAAAGGGTTGGGCTTGCGGATTTCCAGGGAGCAGATGCCCTGCTCAGTCATGGCGATGTATTTGGGATCTTCCCGTATCTCCATCTGATTCTTCATCCAGATGATTTTGGGCTGGAAAGCAGCAGAATTTGTGGAGTTGTTTAAAGCAGGGAGGGAAGTGGGAGATCTAACTGGCCCCAAAATGCAGCCACTTGTCTCTGCCTTGGTCCTGCCCTGGTGGCTTTGGTGGGATTCAGTCAGAAGTAATTTGAAGAGCTAAAGATTCCATTCTGGAGCAGGAACCACAGCTCCACACCTCCTCAGGAAGGCAACAGGAAGTGGTTGGAATGAAGACCAGGCTCTCACCTCCATACAGAAACACCCCAACCTTTCCCCAGCTTCTCTCACCTCATCCAACCCTAACCCAACACACCAACCACCTCCCGACACCTCCAGCCACCTCACGTCATCCAACCCTAACCCAACATGACCAACCACCTCCTGACACCTCCAGCCACCTTGGAAAACCACCACTGGTGGCTGCCCACACGTGGAGGCCACGTTGTCCATGGAGGAACCACTGACCTGGGGGAAGCCCCGGACGGAGCAGAAGAGATGTGTGTTGTAGCCCCGGGTGGTGGTTCGGTCTGTCAAGGGTTGGGTGAACTTTGGAGGCTCCATCATGTCCTGTTGGGGGATCTTCTCTGCCTGATAAGAAGTTTCTAAGAAAATAATTCATTCTAGTTTGAGGCAGAGCTTGGGCTCCTGGGCTGACCAGCACATGGTCACAGGCCTTTAGCCCAAGGTACCCCAAAATACTTCTGCTCCTTCACATCACAAGACAGCATCTAGCCTGACCTGAGGGCCTGGCCTTCAGCTTGGACCAACCCTGTCTCTAAATCCCTTCCCACCCAGCCATGCCATCTTAGTGCCCACTCCCTGGGGAGTCTGCAGACCAGCACCACCATGCTAAGTGCAGCATTCTGGATCTAGGCCAGGTACACCTCTGGATCTTCTACTCCATCCCCAGAATCCAGTGCACAGCAGCAGGAGCTGGAGTTCAGCTCTGCAGGTGGCAGAGACCCCAGCCCCCCGTGTGATACCAGGGGGCAGGATGCAAGTAGATGGAAGGGGAGCAGGGCTGAGGGCTGCTTTGCAGAGGGACCATTGCAGAGGCCTGTTCCTCTGCTGGCCCTGAGCTGAGGGGACAAAGCCAGGGCTCTTCCACACCCTTTCCAGCTCCTTCTTCCATCTCACCACAGGGATGGCCATGCCTTGATCCCTCAGAACTCCTTCTTCCATCTCACCACAGGGATGGCCATGCCTTGATCCCTCCCAAGGGGCTGACCATGGCACAAGCCTTCCCAAAAGCAGAAAGGAGGTGTGGAAGGAGAGCAGGACACCTCTGGACCTGCACAGCCTCACCCCTGTGCTGCTCATCCCAGAGACCATCTCAGCAGCCCGACCACAACACCAACGAAGCCCTGCTAGACCCAATGAGGACAAGACCCTTCTTGCCCACCCACCACTCCCAACTCCTGAGCCAGGGACTTGTCCTCACTTGTCTTCTTGATGTGGGCCACCTCAGAGGTGACAGCTGCCTTCCCGCTCAGCCCGCAGGCGTTCTCGGAGAAGACCCGGAATGAGTAGGAGTTGCCCATGATGAGGTCAGAGATGGTGCAGCTGGTGCGGGTGCAGCGCTCCAGGACCGTGAACCACTTCTGGGAGGACAAAAGTCAAAGATAATCCGAGTGAGGAAAGGCAGGTTGTCCAAAAACTGGAGAAGGTAGAGGAGGAGAGAAAGGTCATAGACTAGTTTACATGGTTTGGGTTGGAATGGACATTAACCCACCAGCCCAGGCTGCTCCAAGCCCCATCCAACCTGCCCTTCAACACCCCCAGGGATGGGGCAGCCACAGCTTCCCTGGGCAACCTGGGCCAGGCTCTCACCACCCTCACACCAAAGAATTCCCTCCTCATCTCCAACCTCCATCTATCTCCCTCTTCCACTTTTCATCCATCCCCCTCATCCCATCCCTCCCTGCCCTTGTCCCAAGTCCCTCCCCAGCTTTCCTGGAGCCCCTTCAGGCACTGGAAGCTGCTCTAAGGTCTCCCTGGAGCCTTCTCTTCTCCAGGCTGAACAGCCCAACTCTCCCAGCCTGGCTCCAGAGCAGAGCTGCTCCAGCCCTCCCATCATCTCTGTGGCTCCTCTGAACTCATTCCAGGAGCTCCATGTCCTTCTTATATTGGGGACCCCAGAGCTGGACTCGGTTCTCCAGATGGGCTCTCAGGAGAGCAGAGTAGAGGGGAAGAAACCCCTCCCTTGACACTCTGGCCACGCTCCTTTTAATGCAGCCAGGGCATGGTTGGTTTCTTCTCTCCAGTGCACATTGCTGGCCCATGCTGAGCTTCTAAGATGTGCATCTCCCCTTTGCACATCCCCAGCATCAGGGCACAGGAGGCCCAGGAGTGCCCAGACTCACCCCACTCTTCTTGTCTGACTTCTGCACTAGGTAGCCCTTGATCTCGGAGTTCCCGTTGTCCGCCGGGGGTGTCCACTCCAAGGCCACATTAAAAGCCCACACATCCACCAGCTTCAGGTTCTGGGGGGGACCCGGTGGCTCTGCAAATACAAACCCTCACAGGGTGGCCTCCTCACTTGCTGCCCCCCGAAATTCTGCGCCTTGACGATCCCTTGCACCCCCCCTTCTAAACTCTTCTCACCCTGTTGGAGCACACGAGGGGTGAGAATCGTAGAGTCATTTAGATTGGAAAAGACCTTTAAGATCCTCAAGCCCAACCATTAATCTAACTCTACCAAGTCTAAACCATGCCCCTAAGAACCAGCAGGTGTGATGGACATGGGCTGGCAGAAAACCTCCATCCTCAACCAGAGTTCATCTCAGTGCTCCCTGGAAGAAGGACCCCAGAGCCCTTTGTCTTCTTACTGGCCCCATCCCACCCAGAACTACCCCTAACCCCGGGGCAGAAATGACCCTCAGAGCTGACCATGTCCACCTCCAGCCTTACCAATGACTTGGATGTCCAGGATGGCTTTGTCCTCTGCTCCATTTATCCTCAGGGTGAGCTCGTACCTGCCCGAGTCGCCGCGCTGGGCCGTGCGGATGAAGAAGATGGTGTCCCTCCCCGTGGTGCGGGTGCTGACCCGGTCGGGGTCCAGGGGCTGCCCACCCTTGGTCCAGGTCACCTCTGGCTCTGGCTTTCCCTGGAGCAACCCGCAGAGGCAGGTTAGGAGCCACTTGAGCGCACGGTCCCAACAGGTCCTGCTGGGAAGGATGGGTGGGCAAAGCCACCCCGCTTTGTGCAGGCAGCAGGGGCCTGGATACAGCCTGTCCCACCTGGCACTTCCCAGGGAAGAAACCATGGCTGGTCCCTGCCAGCTCCACTGACAGGAAGCCATCAGGCTCCAGGGGTGATGCTGGGAACGTGCTGGTCCCCTAAAATCCTCCTGGGCAAGTCCAGCTTTACTTGCCCAGGGCAGTGTAGCCAGAGCTGTGCTCCTGTTGCCCAGCACTGAGCCCGGGTCCAAGCAGAGCAGCAAGGGCTTCAGCTCAGCATCCAGGGCCAATTCATGCCTGGAGCACAACCAGTGCAGGCTACCATCTGCCTATGGGACATGGCATGAACATGTCCCTCACCTCAGGGGGAGTTTTCTGCCCCTCACTTCACCCTGCTTGGCCAGCCAGTTCCAGGGCTGGTTTTCTCCATCCTAGATATCATGGTGGAGACATTTTGCTGATGCTCCAGACACTATAAGATGTATCAGGTGAGGAAAGGACCTCCAGCTTGGCCCACCAAGATCAGCATCACTCCCTCCATCACACAGCTCTGGGGTTGCCCTACTCTCCCTGAGGACATCCCCACTGTTGGGGGTCCTGTGGTATGTGTCCAGATCCCTGCCAGGCTGGACCAGGAGAATGAGCAGAACAAGACCCATGGGCTGAGAAAGCAGCACTGGCCAACCCATGTCCTAGTGTCTTTGGGGTTGGTTCATTGCCAACACCACCAATAAAGACACAGCAGGAGAAAACTGGGAGCTAGGCAGGAATGGGAGAGAAATTCCCACCCCATCTCCCACCCTTGGCCCGTGAGACACAGAGACCAGGACAAGCTACCCCACAGCTGATCCCAGGCATTTCCCAAATGGCCCACCTACCTGGAAAGGGATCATAATGTTCACAGCATCTCCAACATGCCTGAAATAAGTCTCCCGCAGGTGACGGGGCATGCGGATCTTGGGAAGCTCTGGGGACCAGAAAGTCACACCATGGGGCCAAGGAAATCACAGCCTCCAACTGGCTGACCCCCCCCAAGCAACCCCCCTGCTTGGTCATCAAGAAATCCCACCCAGAACCACAGCCACTTCTTCCTTCTCATCTCCTGGACAGTGCTTGCCTCCCCTGCAGAGCCAGTTCAGCCTACCCCACTGCCTGGGGTTTCTCCATCTTGAGATGGAGTCTCCTTCTCTGGAGACATTCCCAGCCCATCTGGATGTGTTCCTCTGTGACCCACTGCAGGTGATTCTGCTCCAGCAAGGGGGTTGGACTAGCTGGTTTTCAGAGGTCATTTCCAACCCTGATAACTCTGGTTCCATGCCAGGTCACCACCCCGACGGCACCATCCCCATGGACCACTCTCCTCATCATAACCAGGCCATGGAGACCTACATGGACTTAACCAGCAGAGCCACAGCATAGCCTATACAGTAGCAAGGCAGAGGACAGTATCTCCCAGTTAGGAAACAATTCTTCCCCAGTTCAGAAAGAAGACAAGGGCCACACAACCCAACTTCCAGCAAGGACAAGGCTCAGCAGATCTTCGCTGTGTGCTCAAAGCCATGGAAAGACCAAAGTGGTTGCTCTCAGCAGAGCTGTGACAGCCCCAGGCTTCAGACGAAGGCTGCCATGTCCCCAAGGGAACATAACAAAGATAAGCAAAAAAAAAAAATCCCACCCTGGAGAATGCTGGGGGGTGTCTCCTTCCCTGGGGTGGAAATAGCAGCCATGTAACCCTACTCGGTGATCTCCCCGGGGAGGCACCGGGTGTACGTGAGCCCCTGGTCACAGAGTCCTGTGTCTCTGCCCAGACTGAACGTGCTGGAGCTTAGCTCTGGGGAGGGGACACGGCCAGAATTAAACCAGGGCTGAGAGATGGAGAAGCAGCTGTGAGAGTGCAGGGCCGGCCGTGGTTCCGGGGAGATGCCGACGGTCCCAGATGGCCCCGCCAACAGCTGAGCTGGTCCCTCCTCGGGTCACTCCAGGGATCCAGCCACTGATGCTGCCACTTGGGCTCGTCCATTTCCATGAAGCAGGGAAACCTGACCTCCAATGAGGAATGTAAATCCACGGGTGTTCTCCCCAGCTCAGAGGGGCTGGCTGGGCTTGGTGGCCCAGGTGGGAAGGCACCTTCCCTCCCCCAGCTCCCTGCAGAACCCACCTCCCACACTGAATCTTCATCTGGTTTCTCCTCATCTCTCTCCACTTCCCAATCCCACTCGTCCCACCTGTTTCTCAGCTCTCTGCCATCTGCACTGCTGCTATTTAAACTCCCTTGTGATGCTATAAATGAACTGGGGAGAGGTACAAACTGCAGTCCCCAAGAAAATGTGAAGCCCAAAAGCTGCCAGATAGGACAGAGAGGAGTGGGCTTGAGCAAGTGACCCACACCATTGCCACCAGGGTGGGCACAGGGAGGCAGAGGGACATGGAGGACTGATTGAATGAAATACAAAAGCAGACAAGAGCTGTTGGCTGGTGGAGTTTCAGTTGGCAAAAAAAGAAAGAGAGAAGAAAAAAAACCCACTTGTGGGGAGTAAGAGCAAGTCGGGTGAGGGTCTTTCAGCTCTTTGGGTTTTACACCTCTCATGTGGCTGGGACAAAGCTCAGGCAGCTGGGACAGGGGGTTTGGATGGGTGGGAGCAGTATGGGACTGGAAGTGGGGAACGAGCTACTTGGCATTTCATGCCTCAGTTTCCCCAGTCACATAGGGTATGGTGGGATGCCTTAGAGATCTGGAGGTGAACATGGCAGCAGGCACCAACCACTAAGCCATGTTGATCTCCTCTGAGTAGACTGGGAGGACAAACCCTTTCCAAATGCCTCCTCCAAGCCTTTTCCTAGGAAGAGCTGATGGTTCTTGGAATAACTTGTGTTATTTTTATTACTATTTTTAAGCAGCCAAAAAATCCGATGGTTTCTTTGAGTAACAGAAAAACTTGTGCATTTGCAAGTCCTTGTAGAGGCAAAAAAAAAGTCCCTCTTTCCTGTTTGGTAAGTGAAAACAGGCCTTGGTGTCACAGCTCAGTCTCAGGGCATTCACAGCACCCCGGGAGGAATGTGAGTCTTGCTGAGCATGGGAGCAAGTCCCTCATTAGCGAGTTCAGCGTGATTAAAGTTCCCATGCTGAGGAGTACCAGCTCTGGGCTTCCCTCAGCCAAATAAACCAGGCTGCCCGGGGGTGTGTGGTGGCAGAGTGGGGATGTGAGTGTGGCCAGGGAGAGGAGGTGGGATGAAAACATGTTTCTGGGCTCCTGCAGTGAAATGGGAAAATCATGGAATCGTAGAATGTTCAGGGTTGGAAGGGACCTCTGGAGATCATCTTGTCCAGCCCCCCTGCCAGAGCAGGGTCACCTACAGTAGATCCCATCCAGACAGGTTTGGAATGTCTCCAGAGAAGGCAGACATGTCTCTCATATTTAGATGGAACTTCCCATGTTCAAGTTTGTGCCCGTTACCTCTTGTCCTGTCTCTGGCACCACTGAGAATAGACTGGCCCCATCCTGACACCCATTGATAAGATTCCCCCCTCAGTCTTCTCCTCTCCAGACTAATTTGGGTCCTCTCAAGACCCAAATCCCTCAGCCTTTCCTCATAAGAGGGATATTCTAGTCCCCTCAGCATCTTCACAGCCCTTTGTTGTCCCCTCTCCAAGAGTTCCCTGTCCTTGAACTTCACACCCAAAGCTTCACCACCTGCAATGTAGGTGTCTTGAGGTTGGGCAGTTACTCCATCCCACCCCAAGAGAACTGGATACCATTCTTGAGGATAACATCTTGGTCAGAGGCTGGACTGTGACATGTGAGAGGACAGAGGCTGCTCAGGCTGCAAGGGTAGACTCTGGTTTCTTTGTCCCACTGACAAAGCACATGGAATGAGGCAAGACAGGAGCAGGACTTACGGAGGATCTCTCTGATGGTGACAGGCTGCTCCAAAGTAGCTGGGACACTGGCACCACTGGCACTGACAGCCTTCACTCGGACATGGATCTTCTCACCTGAGCTGAGCTCCTGGATCGTGTACCGGGTGGAAAGAAAAGGCTCCTGGTTCACAGCTGCCCAGTCCGTACCTAGGGTGAGGCCAGCAGAGCACTTCAGGACAGACACACACCCCAAGCAGCAGGATCAAGCCACAGAGGGTGAAGCCCAGAGGCAAGAAAGCCCTTCCTCACAAAGCCTGAATGGGTTGGGGCAGCAGCAGGACAAGAGGGGAGGTTGCCCATCCCATCCTGCCGAGGAGAGCAGGGGATGAAACGCTGGCAGAAGCTCAATTGTTGAGCAGGAGGCATTAGACCAGCAAATATGGTCCCTGCTGACCTTCCAGGTGCATTTCTGGAAGTAGTTGTGACCCTCTGACAACCCTGCAGCCTGTCTGCTCCTCTTACTGCCTCAAGATCATTCCCTGGGGCTCCTCCACATTGGGCAAGGTCTGCTCATCACCTGCCACCAGCCAGCCAGACCTCTCCATCTGTTCTTCCTACTTGCAAGGGACATCCCAAACCCACCCCAGAGCCAAGATGCAGAAGTCCTCCCACACCAGGCAGCTAACACAGCCTCACAAGGTACCAAAGCTCCCAAGAGGTTCCTCAGCTAGAAAGCAGACCATCCCAGTCACCAAAGGTCTGGGTGTCCCAGGTGGGCAAGTAGAGCAACCTACATGTGCCAGGGTTTGCTAAGCCACCATGTGCACCTTCCAATCAAGGAGGTTTTCCCATAAGTGCCATCAGACCAGCCAAATCCCACCAGCTCTTCTTTCCCTTCACCACTGGCATTACTCAAACCAGGTCACACCCAAATCTCACCATGTTTTGGCCAACCAAGGTCTTGCACCAGCCCAAATAGACCAGTCACAAAGCCCAGGTGGTCAGCACTGAATGGTAAGAGCTGTCCTGTCCCCCAGCCGAGTCCAAAGCCAGCTGGGAGAGCATTCAACACTGAGCTCTGGGTGGCTGCCAACCAGCACCCTCCAGGAAGGGCTGCATCTTTCCTTGTCCCACACAAGGGCCTCCTCACACATCCCAGTTCCCAGTCATGTGCTCACCTCCCCACTTCCCAGCCCTGTGGTGAAAGCCTCCCATGGCCAGCCATGTGTTGATCCTGCCTGACACGAGCTGAACAGCCAAGGGTCATAGACAAAATCCCCCCCAGACCACCCGAGTTCCCCAAGCCACTCCAGCCTCATGCAGGACCCAGCCCACCAGCCCCAGCCTCCCCCTGCAGACCCCTCAGCCACACAGGTCATTCACTCTCACCCCAAGGCCAAGCAGGGCTGCAAAAGGGTATCCAAAGCATCAGCCTCACCCACCTACCCCATTCCACCAACCATCAATGCAACTGGAGAACCACAGGTACTTGTTCCCACCCAGCCCACCTCCACCTACCACAGCCATTCTCCTTCCAGGATGAGTCCCACCTCACTTGGGCAGGGCTTGCCTGCTGATGTATCCCAACCACTCTTGTGCTGCCAGGATCCTTTCCTCCCTCCTCCTCCTCCCAGTTATCCCTGTGCCTTCTAGACTCAGTTTGGGGCAAACATGGGACAACTGAATCTTTTTCCTCCCCTTTTGCATCACCAACCCAAAGACAAGTCTCTGCCAAGTTCATCACAGACCATCCTCAGGGCTGGTCTCTCCTTCACCCTCTAGCTGGACATGGCAATGACATTAAACCTGGTCCAATGAGTCCTCCCCAAAGACCTCACCAGTACCTGAAGCCAAGGAGAAGCCCCACCCTGCATGGACACAAAAAACCCCCACAAAAAGACTATTTAAAATGAACCCTTTTGGTGAAAGAAAGGGAAATGGTGCCCAAGGCAGGTTCTGCCCAGCTCCATCCCACCCCTCTGCAGCAGCCCACCAGCTCTCCATGCCCAGGAAGCAGGAAAGCCCAAGCCTACTTCCATCCTTGCAGATCTCCACCACGTATCCATCCAGGCCCTCCCGGCCCGTCTGCTCCGGAGTTTTCCAGGTCAGTGTCACTGAGTTTTCACTCACTTCTTCCACAGCCAAGGCCAAGGGGGAGCTGGGTGGCTCTGGAACAAATCCACAGGGGTCAGGACAGGCTCCTGAGTACCAGGGCTGTTGGAGGGCAACCACCCAACCTCCATCCTGGTCTTCAGCTTCCCCCCATCCTCTTAATCCCCCAGTCAAATCCCACTGCAAAAATACCCTTGATGACTTCATCCCTCTGTCCCTTCACCCCCACACGCCCCCTCCCTCCCCACCTCAGGGTCTGGTCCTGTCCTCACCTGCCTTGGGTTTCTCAGGTTCAGGAGCTGGAGCTTGGGGTTCAGCTGGAGGAGCTGGAGGAGCTTCTTGAGAGGTTGGAGTCCCTTCTGCTGCGGGGACAGGAGTGGCTCCATCCGTGGGGGCTGAGGGCTGGTCTGCAGCTGGGGGATGCTCAGGGGCTGGAGGTTCTTCAGCAGCTGGAGCTGGTGCTGGTTCCTTCTCTGGTTCTGGCTCTTTCTTTGGCTCTGCTGGAGCCGGGGCCGGGGCGGGAGGTGCAGTTTTCCCGGTCATCGCTGGGGGCTGGGGAAGAAGAGGTTTTGGGGGGTCTCTGCTCCCAGATCTCTGCTCTGTTTTGAGATCCCAGCCCAAGGGCCTCACCTCCAGATTTGGGATCTTGACTCCGGGGCTGAAGTCCCTGCTCTCGACCAGGCGTCCCCGCCGTGGGCAGAAGGTCTGTGCTGGGATGGGGGGGGAACCAGGTCACTGAGCCAGAACAGGGGCTGGGAGATTTTTATAGGCTTTGGATGGCACTTGTCACCTCCCTGCAAACCAATCTGCCTGCGCAGGCGGGGACAGCCAGGAATAGCCACCCGGGACCTGCACATTCAGCAGCACCAGCCCTACCCCCTCCTATGGGACTGCAGCACATGGTCCTGGTCATCCCCACCCCCAGCCCCCCCAGCCTGCACGGGACTGAGCAGGCCAGGGCCAGGTCACCTTTCTTTGGGGACAAAGCTCTTGTCCCCAGCACCAACACCCCTCTAGCTAAGGGCTTCCCAAACCTCCCCAGTCCCCACTGCCACCTCCTCAGCCACCCACTCCTCCCTCCCAAGTGCTGCCCCCAACCTCCCCATTGACCCTGCACCCCCTGAGTGAACACCAGACCCCCCACCCAAATCCTCCCTGTTAATCCTGCCTTGACCCCATAAACCCACCTGCTCCCCCCATGTCCTCCCACAGTCCCCCCTTTTCTCCCCCAGCCTCCCCCTCGATCCCAGAAATGCCTGAGGCTGGAAGGCAACTCTTGGATCACCTGGACCAACCCAGATGCCCCTTCCCCTGACACATGTTCCTGGAGAAGACAAATCACTGCCCAGCCTTGCACCGTGTCCTCCAACCTCTTGCCCCTACCCCTACAAAACCAGGGTTTTCCAAAGGAGTCTGGTCACCCCAGGACTTGTGACCCACCATTCCCAAACTCAGATTCACCCCAAAGCCCCCACTGACCCACCAGTCCTGTAGGATACAGCCCAGCTCCCCCCCTGCCCGG